TCGGAGACTTTCCCTTATCGACCATGTTGATAGTAACTGATGGGAGTTCGTCATCTTGAACAACCGATCGTCTTTTGCAAAAACGCCTTGATTTGGGCTTTGATGCTTCTACGGGGATACTCTCGAATACCGAGACCCTCTGCGGAGTGGTCTTGGGGCAGCTACATGTTGATAATACTGCCCTGATAAATTTGGTACACGGACAGTGAGAGTCCGCTTCCCAGATACTTCTCTTTCGAGATTTATTCGTACCCCCAGCCCGATAGTACAACTCATCGATGTTGCAGTCAGAGCAACCTATCGGCTGTTTACATGAATTCTCAGGTATAACGCGTTCGTCTGTCTGACGCGTTTTCCTCTGAGTAAACATTGCCTTGTTGGCGTCTGCAGGAGTCACACGTTTGGAAACATACTTTTGTGAGGGTGAAACCTTAACGGGCTCCTGGTTATCTGCACGCACCCCCAAGCGGGCCGTTGTAGAAATTAATTTGTTAGGAGGTCGCGTACGACCCCCAGTCCGGATGTTTGCTCGAAGCTCCTTCAACGGTCTCAAGCTTTCCTTAACAGACGTTTTTCCTTGATCCTCGGGTAGAGAACCGATGCGATCCTTCAATGGGACTCTAGCTTTGGGGAGATCCACGTTGTCATAGAGCTTCACCGGAGGTGCGGGAGCGATAGGAGCGGGATCTGGAGTTGACAAAGGCCGGAGAGCAGCCTCGGACGCTCTTTCCTTAGGCGCTGATTTGACCTTTGGCATCCAAACTTGGTTAGATTTTGGTAGCTTTTTGGCCACTTTTTCCTTCTGCAACTCCTGTGTCTTCCGTACAAGGATCCTCGTCTGCGCTAGCAGTGCGCGGCGCTTGTGGATACGCTCCTCAAGAGTTGAACGGGTTCGTTTGACACGAACTCATTCGTTTGACACGAACTCATTCGTTAGTAGGTGGTTGGGAGGAGGTTCCCAAAACTTGTTGCTGGAACACTTTGCGCCTTCTGCGTTTCAGATCCGCATCATAGCAGATCCCGTCAACAGGCTCCAAAGCCTTGGCAAATTGACGCGCGAGATGTTGACGACGCCTTTGACGAGCTCTCTTCGTCAACACTGGTGCACTTTCAACGGGCAACTCCTTGACTTTCGAGGAGTTGTCACGAACGTTGGATCTGGTTTCTTTGAACGCAGGAGAGGAATCTTCCACTGCATTCGGGTTCAGATCATCAGTCTTGGTTTTTGGATCTGAAGTCACGTTCTTCGCGGCAGTGGTTTTCCTGCGTTTGCAAGAAGAATATCTGGAGGAGGAGGAGGAAATATATTCCTCGAATTTCTGCTGGTCAAATTCGTATTCGATCTCTTCGAGCACCGGGATCTTGATCGTCGGCTGTGGCACGACAGCTTCGGCAGCGAAGCTGTTGGCTCCCACTGTGGTCGCCAGTTTGTTTGCGGTGAAAGTTGATTTCTTCATTGCTATCGAATCTATTATAACTTTAGTCGTTACAATAAACTCGAATAAAATAAAAAGTTGATCTTTTTATAAGATCTCCTTACACAATGAAAATAAAAAGTTTACAACTTTATCAAACAAACACAGAGATCGTTTATCGGTCTTCTGCTTGCATGGGATCTTTGCCTGTGCCGGGGTTTATCCGTGGACCACCGTCGATCAGATCTGATTGCTGAAAAATTAGGCAGAGCTTCGTTGATTCGCAAAGGAATCAAGAAATCGTAGCGCTTATCTCGACAACGGCGAGATAATTGCTCTTCTTAAGATTATCGCAACGGGATAATCTTAAGGAATGGATCCGGGAAACTGCAGATCTGACGAGCTCCTCTTCTTTATGCCGACGAACTCAATCCGATCTCTCCTCCTCCTCTCTGAAATTCGTGCACCTTCAGTCTTCAGTCCGGCAGGGCTTCGCCTAATCTCCAAAATTCCAGATCTGAAAAAATGAGGCTCTGGGGCTTCTATTTATAGGCATGGGGTGAATTCGGGCTGGAGACACCCTTGGGTGTCTCGGCCATGGCCGAGACACCTTGGGGTGTCTCGTTTGGGCCGAGACACCTCGGGGTGTCTCAACTCAGGCTGAGATGCCGCTTTTTGTATGTTCGTCCGTTTCCACCTTAACTTTTTCGTCCGAACTCGGATTTGAGTGATTCAAAGTGCGTTGGAAAGCCGACGAGGATATCTACAAGCGCCGATGATTGGATCATTGTGGAGTCAACTGGGACACGAGGGGCGTAGCGCCTTTTGTAGGCTACGCGGGGCTCCCGATCAATTCGTATCCTCGTTATTCTGAAATTCCGGTGCTTCACGTAGTTCGTCGATTCACTTCAAGCGTTTGTCGACGTCAATCAAGCTTCTGTAAACTGGATAGTGATGTTCATCGTCTTTTCTTAGTACTGAGCCGTTCGTGGAGACCTATAGGCAATTTTCGATGCCTACAGTTCGGCAACGTGCCTACGTCCTCGGGAGCCACACCACACAATCTCTTTGATTAATTAAAGAAGAATACAAGCTCTCAAACTAGGGTTTTATCTCTCTGAGATTCTCTCTCTTTTTTGCAGTCAAAAGGCTCTCTTTTTCGTGTCTTACAAACCCTAAAAACGTTTGGGTATTTATAACAAACCCCAGCCAAACAGGATTCCTAAACAGGATAGGAAACAGTGAAACAGCGTCGCGGTCGACCCAGCGTCGCGGTCGACCGTCGTACCAAGGTCGGTCGACCGGCCAGAGAGAAAAATCCATTACAGTGTCCTGTGCACATTTGCGGTCGACCGCAGCGGCCACGCCAGTCGACCGACCAGAGCGAAAAATCCTTCTCAGTCTCCTGCAGTGCACGCGGTCGACCAGATCTGCCACTGCGGTCGACCGCACAGTGTTCTGACTGTTTTCTTCGTCTTTTCGATTGCAGCTTCGGGTCTACACACTTAGACTAACATATTATAGTATTATAAGTATTAAATGTAGTGCGGTATATTATTGTATAATGTATTATAATATTATATTGTAATTTAATGAGTTATATTATATTATAATTAGAGATTAATGTGTATTCTTGTCAAGGAGGGGGTTTCTCTCTTCTTGACAATGATGTGGTACAATTCCTATAGTTGGAATAAATATACACTCTTGGCTGAATAATTGAAAACAAAAGCAGCAATACATACCTGAACAATGCCAGCATCGCACAAGTTCTTCAGCGCCATTAGGTACTTTGTCTCTCCAACGCGGTCTAGGTAACGCCGGCAACAGGCCAAAGTCGAAAAGTAGTTGCTTAGCTCGAGGCAACCTTAATGGTACATGGTCAGCATCAAAGTTCTTCATGTAATGGCTGCGCTCAAGGTCTTCTCTAACATATCATTTGCCTACAAAATGAAAGATGTAATAGCATTAATGAGTTTGAAGTCACATGATTCTTTGGATGCATTGTCTTCGACATATTAACTTAGTTATTATAAACTACATGAACAGTTACATGAGAAAAATTCCCCTTCTTATATAATATATATACACAAACATTACATTACACGGTTGAGCAGTAAATATACTTGTTGAACCAAAAGTCTCAATTGCAAAAAATTCACCCTCCTCCATCTTTGTCTGCTCACCACTGTTGAACCAAAAGTCTCAATTGCAAAAAATTCACCCTCCTCCATCTTTGTCTGCTCACCACCTTTTACAATTGGAACAGATTTTCCAGCATGTATTTGCCCACCTTTTACAATTGGAACAGATTTTCCAGCATGTATTTGCAAGACTACAAAACTCTGTTTACTCTTAACATTCGGCATTTTCCTTCTGCAAAATATGCACGCAGAATTTATTGTTATCAAGTACATGACTTCTAAATTAACAAGATAATACAAAAGAAAGAGGACAGATAGAACCACATAAATAAATAACAAAAAAGGGCAGAAGAACAAAACGTAGTATACACAAGAAATCGCATCATAAGTTACAGTAATAACAAAGGCCAGAGCCCTAAAACACTTCTTTTTCTCCAAGAATACTTTCTCCAAGAATACATGCACAAGCTAAGCATTTCCGTTTCACATTTTTGTATTTTTGGTAAGTATGAGGATGTAACGCACCAATAACTCTTTTTAATCTTTAAGCACTGCTGCTGTCCATGGGAGCTTCGTTGCCGGCTCCGAAGGCAAAGTTATTAGGGGTAGTTCGCTCAAAGATAGTTGTACCTTGGTTGAAGATCAATCCCCAACCAAATATGCCAAAAATCCTGCAACTTAGAAATATTCAATGATTAAATGTAATCACCTCAGGAAGTAGCAAATACTAACCACTCGAATTTGTAATAGAACTCCCAATATTTTGAATGCACTCTATAAGCATTATAGGCGCTATATACCTTGATTTACTAAGTTAATTTGCTTAGCTTCTCCTGTAATTTACAGAAAAGAGTTAACCCAAACCTTCCTGATTTCCAAGAAACTCAACTCAAAGACACAATTTCATTTAGTACTTGGATATATAAAAATAACGGTGTCTCTTCACATTGCTTCTATTTTTCTCAACTATTACTTCCTTGCCAACAAACAATGAAATATAATTGTGACTCTATTCCTTGAAAAAAAGAAAAAGAAAAAAAAAACGTACCGTAGATATTTCCTAAGGAAGCAACATATAATCAAGGGGAAAATGTGTCAAGGCCCCAAAAAATAAAGGGGATGTGACCCAGTTGGACCAGCTCCCCGTATTATTTTTTGTGTGTGCCAAAGTTCCAAATACATGAAGCCATTATTTTCAGCCCCTATTTACATTTTCAATGTAGCATAGAGAGAAACAATTTTTGAAAACCCAAAACTACCCCCTCTCTCGCTCTCTTCTCTCTTCTCCCTCTACGCCAACATCCTCAACTCTCTGTCAAGAACCAACAGCAACGACGACCTCGACGGCGAGATTGACATGTTCTTGATGGGGGTTTTGGGGGAGTTCAGGGGAATGGGAGGGGGAAGATGGGGGTTGTAGGTGTTTGATGAAATGCCCAAATGAGTTTCCTTTTTAGCATTTCTTCAGTAAGGTTATCTTTTTGAGTTTGTTATATTTACTAGTCGATTGATTTAAGGTGTGTGGTTATTAGCAGCCTTTTTACTGATGAAAAGTTGAAATTTGAGTGCTATCGTCCAATGAAAACTTTAGCTCTGGACCCAGATTATTCACGGAAATCATCAAGAAGATATGTTGCTGGTGGTTTAACTGGTCAACTTTTTTTGAATTCGAAAACCTGGCAATGGTTATTCTAAACAGGTATCTGGTGGACTTGACACAAGGAAAAAATTTAATATTTGCTGCTCTAAATTTCAATCATAAATATGTTGTTGTCTCAGGTATTACATGATGGAGAAGGTCCAACACATGCGGTCAAATGGACGTATGGCATGGCGAATGATGCACGTATGACATTCATTGAGAGGCTTCAGGGAAGTCCACGTCCTGAACTTCTGCTTCCTCATTTAGTTCGGCAGGTGTGTTCAGGTCGTTTGTTTTAATTTTTTTACCATTCTGCATTAAGCAGCTGATGCAACTGAATTAACTGAGTATCACGGGAAGCCCACTTTTTGCTACAACAAATGGATCTATTTATATGTCTTATCTTGACTAGAGAAATAGCAGTTTAATATTTCTAGTTCTAGGTTTCCCTCCAATTCATAACAACGTTCAGTTAGTATTGTACACTGAGCACCCTTGGTGATTGGTTCTGTAGTGAGGGGAAGCATAGGGAGACATGGTCTGATTCACGCAGTGATGCTTAAGTGCACTATTATTTGAAGAGAAGAAAAGGAAGTTGGGCTCATTGGTGGACATGATTTGCTAATTTAAAGAATAACTAACTGGTTGATATTTTCCGTCAAGTTAGCAAGTGGTATGTTATTGAATTTCTGTAGGGATTTTGTAATTTCTTTAACTTTATCAAGGTTGATATGACTTTTGAGTAAATAATAGTTACAAAAGCTTACTGCAAATCCATGTTGGTATTGTATATCTACGAAATCAGTCTTGTATGCTATACAACATAATTGAATGTTTTATGAGTAAATTACTCTATAATAATATAATGTTGTCTTTGTCTTCAACCAACCTTGAGGAAAAGTACTTCCTTTTCTTTTAGTTGTTCTATTATACTAAAATGGACCAGCCTAATGATAAATTTTATGACTGGAATGATATAATTTACTTGAGAGGGTCCTAAAGATGTTGTATATTCTTGTTCTCTAATTAGATTGCTTTACTTCTTCAATAGATGCTAACAAGGATGTACGCACATAGGATGACATAATGTTGGTCATTGGTTGGGTAACATGTGTAAAGATTGTTGCAATCAGAACTAATGCATCTGGAGCAAATGGAGTGCAAAAGACTGTTCAAGCATCAAGCACGAAGTATGTGGATATTGTAGCAAATGGAGTGCAATCCAAAATTGCTTGTAACGTGCCATGTTTCATTGTTCAACTGATTATACTATGTATTGTTGTGGTTTGGTTGTACTTGGATCAAATTTTAATGAAATGTATTATGTCTATTTAGTGATCAATTTTGGTGTAATTTATTTGCGATTGTATGTGAAATGTATTTTGATTGTCATGTGAATATGTACAAGTTCATTCAAATAGAACTTGATGTGCATAATAAACTGAAGATTATATATAAATTATGTGTATCAAAACCTGAATATTATGGTACATAATATGTACTTAATATTGAGGCTATTGTGTACATAATATATGCATATTATGTACATAATCTTCATGTTATGATACACTATTAAATCTCATACACTTGTACATAGTTTGTACAATATCCTTCAGGTTATTATGTTTGAACATGAACATGATTAGCAAGAACATGACCTGTTTTCTATGTTAACTTTAACTATTACATGTTAACTTTTATCATTATATGTTAACTCTCCTCATAACATGTTAATTTTCTAGCTGAACATGTTAACGTTCATTATAATATGTTAACTTTTACTATTACATGTTAACTTTCATAATAATATGTTTATTTTTTATAACATGTTAACTGTTTGCTGAACATATTAACTTTCATCATAATATGTTAACATTCACTATTACATGTTAACTTTCACCATAATATGATAACTTTCTTCATGACATGTTAACGTTCACCATAATAAAAATCTTACATTCTTATGGCTGATATTACTTGAATACGCGAAATAATTAGACTTACAATCTTAGAACTTTCTCATTTTTACATGTTAGAAATTTCTGAATTTTTAAAAAATAGAACTCTCTATATTAACAATAGCTTGCATAAGAACTCTCCATATAAATCATCTTGAGAGACTTTCAGTCTTTCAAACACATCGAATTTTAGTTTAAAAAACTTGTTATGAAGAAAGTTAACATGTAATAGTGAAAGTTAACATATTTAGCTGAAAGTTAACATGTTACGAAGAGAGTTGACATATAATAATGAAAGTTAACATGTAACAGTTAAAGTTAACATATTAGGATGAAAGTTAACATGTAACAGTTAAAATTAACATAAGATATAGGTTCGGGTTTTGATACACATAATTTATATATAATCTTCAGTTTATTATGCACATCAAGTTCTATTTGAATGAACTTTTTGATACACATAATTTATATATAATCTTCAGTTTATTATGCACATCAAGTTCTATTTGAATGAACTTGTACATATTCTATATAATCTTCAGTTTATTATGCACATCAAGTTCTATTTGAATGAACTTGTACATATTCACATGACAGACACAATACATTTCACATACAATCATAATAAATTACACCAAAATTGATCACTAAATAGACACAATACATTTCATTAAATTTTCATCTAAGTACAACCAAACCACAAGAACACATAGTATAATCAATTGAACAATAAAACATGACACGTGACGCCCCGATGGCCTTGCACACAAAGCACAAACCTCACCGCCAGGGCCCTAGTCATCCCATCCCTCAGCACAACACTCTGGGCCCCACCTGGCTCCCCGATGACCTTGCACCCTCTGTTCGTGCTCGCAACCAAACACCATTCGGTTGTGGCCATCAGCATGTAGTAAGTCCTCCCATCCAAAACCAGCGGGCCCTCGATGCCAACAAGCAATGCGACGAACCCAATCAGCACGTAGTAAGTCCTCCCATCCAAAACCTGACAGGATAATGGTATATCATGTTTGAGCTTGTTTCCTTACATAGAAGAATATAATTCTTGTTTTGTCTATTCCATGTTCGTTTCTTTCATATGTGAACCTTCTCCAAATATCAGCTAATCTCATATATTTGCTTATGAAATTTGAGAACTCTTATTTGTTCCACATTTTTTCATAGGATAAGAATTTATCCATTGTATACGTCTTCCTTATCTCTAGTGGATATCACTTATTTCAGCCATTCTAATTCTCTTGGCAGCTCCCCTTGGCATCCATTGATAAAAAGCAACAAAGGAGTATGTGTATTACTCACGTTAACATAAGCCGTATCATCCAACACCATCAAAAGTCTGACAGGCGTTGAGATTCCTACCGGGAATGGAGGCATAATCGAACCCATCAAGAGGTAGGGCGTTGAGATTCTTTTCGGCGATTCTCCTTAAAGCCTCGCGTCGAACACCTACAGCGTGTTTGGCTGTGATTCTCCTTGTGACTTGGTTCGAGGGATTGGTGACCTCCATGAAAGATCATAACCTGAAAATATAATATCTTGTTTGGGAGTGAAATCGTAATAAATGAAAATATAATATCTTGTTTGTGAGTTTGATTGAGAGTAACGGAAGGAAACTTGCTTCATCATATTTGATAAAGCAATATTACATGCATGTTTGTTCATCACTTGCTGCTTCCTTTTATATCTTGGATTCATTATCACCTTATCAAAGTTGATACATTGTTCTAACAAATGCCAAATTAAAACGGCTAAAAAATTTAGTTTCGTGGTGCTCCTTTAAAATGCACTTAATTAATTACCGGTCCTCTCAAAAGTAGACAACAACGTATCCTCCATTATTGAGTTTTGATCATTGGAGTGATTAAAGAAAGTTGATTAGCTAGTTAGTCCATGTTAATATTTCAAAGAAACAACAAGGATATAATCAATATTTTCCCCACATAAGTTAGGGACTTAGGGGGGCCAAACACATGGCAGGATTCTCCAAGCACATGATTAAAGTATATTGACTTGGTTCGTGTTCTTAATTGAACATAACAATTTGCAGTTGGGCACAAATTAAGACTAGATGGATTACAGGATAAGTTATTTTTCCTTTTGTTTAAAGAAAATAAAAGAGAATTGCTAGCTAAGGGCAAAGATGTATGAGACTGTTGAGAGCTGCGGAAGCTAAACAACCAAACCAACGTGCTACGAGAAATCAAATCAAACGAACATCGAGAGAAGGCCAAACGAACCAAATCAATGCCACAAACACAAACAACCAATTTTAACGTGGTTCGGCAAGTTGCCTACGCCCACGGGGCAAAAAGGAGATATGGTTTTTCACTAATAGAGAAGAAGAATACAAACTGAGATTACAAATCACTCAGACTCACCAATTAATATCACAAACAAATCTCTAATTCTCTCTCGGCGATTGGTTTGGTTTCTCGAAGCACATCAGTTATTTGGCTTCCGCCGCGCACTCAACAGAGACCACATATTATATTTGTCACTAAGTTCTTTTAATGGTCTGTTTGGATGGAGACATGGCGGCTGGGTGGCGGATCGCCTGACCGGGGGGAGCGAGGCGGTGGCTGAACCAGGTGACGCTACTGTCGCGAGGCTAGGGGTGCCGCGCGCGTCATCTAAGGGGAAGGGCGGGGGTGGAGGGGGCAGATCTGGAGGCTGGGTAGGTGGGATTGAGGGTTTCGAAAGTGGGGGGTCGAGTTTGGTTGTTAGGTGACTGAAGATCTAGGGTTTAGAAGAAGCAAAGGCAGTAGGTTAAGAGAACATGAAGGCGGAGGAACAGAGGGCTGAGGGAAAAAGGCGGGGTCAAGGTGGGTGTAATACCCCAAATTATCATCAACTTTTGTAAGAATAGGGTTCTTTCCTTCTTCAGAAATATGTCCTTTGACTCCCAATACCTTGATTCTCAAGTCCTAAATTTGACCGATCTTATTTCAATCCTAATCTTGACCAATCTTATTTTTGGGAATCCCTATGGCCCCAAAAACATCGACCCCTTACTCCAGTTGTCCCTCGTGTGCTTGGAATTTAATTTTGAGAACATGATATTGGATTGAGGAAATATGAATAAGATCTTATTAAGAGTGGAAAAAAAAATTTGTATAGAATTTGGATTTGATGTTGAGTGAGTTGAGAAGATATATTCATATTATATCAAGATTAAGGTGATAAACAAGGTGGGTGAAAAAGAAACCTATTAGAGATATCAAAATATTAGTTTGAAATTTTAATCTATTCTTTTATACAAATGAGAGAATCAGATAATTACTGTTCATGCTACATAATTCTCTCTCCTCTCACCCCTATATTATAATCACTTTTATTTAATTTTTTTAAAAAAATAAAATAAAATTCAAGTATTGTTTAACTAGTTTCAAGGTTGATTTTCAAAATTCAAAAACAAACACCTAGGGGCTGTTTGGTTGTATGTTTTTACCATGTAAAAGGATGTAAAGTGTAAAAAAGTGGGTCCCAATGTCAGCTTTCATCACTTTCAATTGTTTGTTTGTAGTTGTGAAAATAGTGTAAAGTGATTTCATATGCTGATGTGGCTTGTAAAGTGATTTCATGAAAAAAAGACATGATTTTAGGAGAAAGCTAACATTGAAGTTAGGAAAAAATAATAAAAAATAATTCTAACCAATATGATCATTTGAGTAGGGACCACTTTTTATACTTTCCAAACAAACAATTAAAGTTTCATTTTGCAAACCAAGTGTTTTATGATTCCAATGGAATCAAAAACAAACAAAGAAAAGTATAAAAGTGAAATTGATGAGATGGACAACAACTTTCCAAGTTGTGTCATAAATACACAACTTTACCAACAACAACCAAACACCCCCTATTCTCAACTTGAAAGGGGAAAAAATACTCAGAGAGATCTTTATTTTACTCTCTCCTCCCCTATCCTTGATCTCCCATCTCTCTTCTCTCCGTCCTTCACCGACTATGAAAAAAATCCCCAAATTTTAAAAACCCTCCCCAAATGGCGCCCAAGGCCGAGAAGAAGCCCGCGGAGAAAAAGCCCGCCGCCGCCGTTGATGCCGAAGAGGAGCCCAAGGCGGAGAAATCTCGCGTCGGCAAGAAGCCAAAGGCGGTGAAGCGGATCCCATCAAAAGAAGCGGGAGGAGTAGACAAGAGCAAGACGATGATGAAGAAGAAGAAGAGGGTGAAGAGGAGCATGGAGACGTACAAGATCTACATCTTCAAGGTCCTGAAGCATGTCCACCCCAACGTCAGCGTATCGAGCAAGGTCATGGGCATCATGAACTCCTTCATCAACAAAATCTTAAATGCCCAACTCTGGTGAGTCCTTTTTAAATCTAAATTTGGATATGGGTAAAAATTTTCATTAACATTGAATTGTTTTTAAAATTCAAAAACGAACAGGGCTCAACTTGAAAGGGGGGAGAAAAATAAAACTACCTCTCCTTTTCCTTTCTACATCTCTCTCTGCTTTATCTTTATTTTCCTCTCTCCTCAACTTTCCTTGATCTCCCTCTCTCCCCCTCTCCTCTACCAGGAAAATCCTCAACCTTGGTCGCCTTTCCACGACGGCGTAGGAGGGTAAAGAAGAAGAGGATCTCATTTTTGAAGATCGGAGGTGCAATTTCCATTGGGTTTTAATTTCTTATTATTTTAAATTTTTTTGTTGCAGATTCGATTTATTTTGCTCCAAAATAGGCAACAAAAGACTCGGCTTGTTAAATACTACGTCCCTCTCGAAGAATCAGAGAAGCACAAGGTCGAATACGAGAATCTACTTCTTTATTACTAAAGGAGAATAATAAAAAAAAGAAAAATGAACAGTAACCTAAGGTTCTGATCTAAGAAAAAAATAAAATGAATAACCAACCAACAAAATAAAAAAAATTCCCACGTTCTCTAATAAAAACTGCCAAAAAAACTCTCACGTTCTCCTAAAAAAAACTCCCACGTCTTCTCTCGCCTTCCCCTAAAACCGAAACCCAAAGCCAGCCTCTCCTCTCCCCTTTCTTCTTCCAAATTCTTCCCAAGAAAAAAATCTAACTTTTCAATGCCCCTATCTTCTCAATTCTCGCGGAAAACTAGAGTTTTCTGCCCTAAATTGTTAAAGATTCGACGATCCATGACGGAAGAGGAGCCTATCTCAAGCAGAGGGGTTTCTGCCCTAAATCGTCAAATATATTCGACGATCCATGACGGAAGAGGAGCCTATCTCAAGCAGAGGGGTTTCTGCCCTAAATCGTCAAATATTCGATGATCCATGGCGGAAACCTTCTTTTTCTATTTCCTCACTATCAAATCTCATCCGTCCTCAACCGAGTCCAGTGCCGCCGCCTCCTCTTCAATCGGTAACATTCTCTCTCTCTCTCCCCCTCTCTAAAATTTTTGCCATGTTTGGTTTTCTGCTGTTTAGTTGAGATCTAAGCAACTAATTTTTGTCTTTTAAGTTTAAGTAGAAGTTTCTATTAATTTTTTATTATTTTCTCTAATTGGGTATATTTGTTTGGATGTTAATTAGATCGTCAAGGGCCAAAATCAGAGTCGCCTGACAAATACAACACAAATGAAGGTTCCCAAATCAATAAAGTAATTTTAAGTATTTTTTTGTATATTTTGTGCTAATATTTGTTGGGTTGATAGAATGTTAACTATTTATCTTTTTATTTTAAATATTTATCTATTTGATAACAATGTATAGAAATATGCATGCTTGCATTTTAAATATTTATCTATTTGATAACAATGTATAGAAATATGCATGCTTGCGTCTTTTCTCACACTAAATACAAGCTTACTTACAATTGTTACAGCAATGTATAGAAATATGCATGCTTGCGTCTTTTCTCACACTAAATACAAGCTTACTTACAATTGTTACAGAGACTCAATTTCAATTTTTAGTTCTTGAATGTGTAGTTATTCATAGAAAGTTCATGAATACGTTGCCCAAGACCTTATCTTATTAAGGTATTTTACAATTGAGAATTAACAATTTCTTTTTTTTGCCCTTTAATTTTGCTTCTAATGGATATTTATGATGATGGTTAAGTTAATAGTGGATCCCGAAGCAAAGCTTTGGCATGTAATGTGAGATATTTTGAATTTTTAAAATTTTTTAATTTTATTTCAAGTGAATTTTAAAACTTTGGGATTTATGGTAAAATTAGGATGATGCTTTTTCTTTATGGTAAAATTAGGATGATGCTTTTTCTTTGTAATTATAGTGATAAATGTTTACGGAATTATGGTATTATGACTCACATTTCACAGTACATGTTTTTTTTTTTCCAGAATATGAATATGGAAAAAGTCATGAGAATATGCCTCTTATCAACTTTATCTGCGTTAATTTTGCTAATTATTTACATGATTTTCATGTACCTTGCTGAGTTCAAAACTGGTGCTGAGAGGAAAGAGGCTGCTAAGAACACACTCTTGGCCTACAAATCTGCTCAGGTCAGTAGTTTACTACATATCGAAGATATTCCTACTTTTACTGTCATCGACCATCTATCATCCCATAATTGACCCATGTATCTTATTTGTTATTTTTTATCATATATAACTCTTCCTTCAACATCCACCTTAGGATTGGTCATCTTCATTTGATGTTCTCAAGGAGCATATCTATATCTATATGCATTGTCACCATTTATCTAATATGTCTTTCTTCTTTAAACCAAGTTTTTCTCTCGTATTTTCGTGACAATTTACTGTTTATGTTGTATGTTTATAAATGACAAAGAATTCGAACTTTAGCTATATATCTGCTTCACGTTGTGGAGTTATCATTGTGCATCATGATTTTCTTGGGTGTTATGCACTCCAGACAGTATGGTGGATGTAGAATAACTGCTTTATGTTTATTTTTTATCCCATAAGATTAGCAGTACTTCTATTATCAGCTTAAAAAATGAGCTTGTTTATGTATAGGACATTGCTGTGGGTTGTCTCCAACTCATCTGATCAAACTTGGTTTGTGCTCTTGCAAAGCAAGTATATTTTTGTTTTGCATTGAACTCACCTGATCGTGCTTGTGCTCTTGTGAAGCAGGTAGATCTTTGCAAAGCAGGTATAATTTATTTGTAATACAAATCATTTTTGCATTGACTCAAGCGATTCTGTTGCTCTAAGCATTAGATTTTCTATGATATAATTACATGTATTGACATGCATTTTGAATTCGATATTCAAGTTTTAGTGGTGTATGATCCTGGTACACTCTCGATTACTAATTTTTTTGGCATGCCTTAAAAAGTTGTGTAGTTCAAACATAGATTTTTCATAGATTAATTGAATATCAGATTTTCTGTAAATATTGAGACCCGTGCATATTTATGTTTTCTTACTTTTGTTCCAGTTGTTTCCTGATGAATGTAAATACTGTGTTATCTGTCTGTTTCTTCTTGGTACTAAAACATTTTGCAATATTTCAGATTACTAAAACATTTTGCAATATTTCAGATTGTTAAAATGTGGGTGAAGCAACTGACTCGACATAGAGGGTATACTGATCAGATGGTTGAGGAGGCCAATGCTGTTATTTTTACATTTGGTTCTTATAGCTTAGGAGTAAGTTGAAATATTACTTTCTGAGAAACATAATCTATTTTTAAATTTGAAGAAGCAAATTGTTTCTAATGCCTATATGGGATGGACTAAATACTTGGAAATTCATGTTCAATATTTGAAGGAGCAAATTGTACCCGTCTTCGATTCACTTTGCACATGTTCAATATTTGTAAAAAATCTTGTAGAAACCGTGCTTTGCACGGGTCTAAATACTAGTATTATTAACATCAGAGAATATTTTTTTACCTTGTGATTATTACTAACATCATAGAATAATGTTTATAAAATATAATCAATTAATGCTAAGCTATTATATTACAGTCTTTGATCAATTTTAAGTGATTTAGTTTTCTATCAATTAATGATACCTCCGTATTTTTGATACTCCAACTTATGAGTAAAATTATATAAAATTATTTTTATTTAGACAATGATATTAAATGTTAATCTATCAATATATTTTTCAAATTTCATGGTTTTTTAATTTTAAACTTTTGAGGGTGTTTTTACAATTTTTAAAACTTTAAGGGTGCTAATTGTAATTTTTAAATTTTAGGGGGCTACTACTAATTTTCAGATTTTATGTTTATTGTTTTAAGCTTTGAAATGTCAGTATGTTTTGTGTAATTTTAAATTATTGAGGGTGTTTTGTGTAATTTTTATAACTTTTACTTTTTTGACAATAATTCATGTACTATCTTTCTCTATTATCCCTGAGGCTTAATTGATGCGACAAAGAGCTTTTTATAATGGAGAAATGAGAATCTATGTTCAAGTTTGATGGTAATCTCTAGAATTTATCTATGTTATTCACAAGTTTTGAGGGTGTTTTTTTATAAATTAAACTTTTGAATGTGTTTTTATAATTTTTGTAATGTTGTGGGCATTAATTATAAGTTTTAAATTCTTTAGAGGATACTGTTAATTTCTAAATTTCATGTTTTTTATTTTAAGTTTTGATATGTGAGAGTGTTTTGTGTAAGTTTGAATATTTGAGTGTATTTTGTGCAATTTTGAAACTTTTTGGGGTTTTTTTTGTTATTGTTGTAATATTTTATGTAACTTATTAATCTTATTTTTTTAAAATTATTGAGCTATAAGTAATTCACGTGGGATTAAGATAAGATTTAATTATGATTATGATAGATTAAGATCTAATAAGATATTTAAAAAAGTGAAAGGTAATATTGACCAATGAAAGACTTTTCCGAAGAAGTATATGATGGGAGGCTTCTAATTAATGAGTTGGTTTCTAATGAACAATATTGGTTGGTGTAATTTTGGGGTAAGTGGGATAATTTTTAAAACTTTACTTTATGGTGTTATTTATTGGGACAATGGGATTGAGATTTTACTTTAAGGTGTTATTTATTGGGACAATGAGATTGGGACAATTAACCCCACTTTTTCCAAAATTATCCCACTTCTATACAAACTTTTTGTCCCAACCTCCAAAAATGACATCATTCTTAACTTTGGGACAATCATGAGGAAAGTGAGATAATTTTGAAGTGCTAATTTACTAAATATCTAATATATATTAATTGTATTATATTAGATAATATATTTTAATTATATTATATTATAAAATTCTATTATAATATAAGATAATAAAATATTATATAATATTATCTAATATAACATTATTATATATGATTATTACATATTGGTTAATAATATTTCATATATTATAATATTAGAATTATATTATTATTATATTACTTTTTATTATTTAGTATATATTTTATTAGTTAGAATAAAAATATTATTGTATTATTTTTATGATATAAATATTAAATAATATTTTATTATTACTATAAAATTATAATAAATTACTATATATTAAAGTATGATTATATATATAATTAATGTAATATATTATATTATTTAATAATATTTTGTAGTTAATAATATTGAACATGTTAATAGTATATTACGATTATTATAAATGTTATATTTTAATAAGGAGTCATGTCATCAATTATCTCACATGAATAGTCAAATCAAATTTTTAAATTGTCCCATTATCCTAAATTATTTCACTTTACACCATTCAAAATATCCCAAAGGGATAAAATTGTTCTATTGGAACAATTATCCCACTTAGCCCCAACTTGTCCCAATCAATAACCCACAAAGGGATAAAATTGTTCTATTGGAACAATTATCCCACTTAGCCCCAACTTGTCCCAATCAATAACCCCACTAAACGTAACGAAAAGAGAAGTAGAGCTACAGTCATTTTTTTCGTGCTTTATTCGCCCATATGGCCATATAGGATGCTTCCTCCAGCATGGCATACACTGCTCCTATTGTGTATATGTACGCACACATTATTTCCAGCTTTTTTTTCTCTTTTCTACTAAAGCAAAATTTTCATGTACATTGGATCCCTGCTCCCTACGTATCATACTACACAATGCAATAAGTAAATCTTGGATGCAACTACGAGCCTGAGCTTGTCATGGATTCTATATAACCTGATCTATGCTACAGTCTTCCACATTGGTCTATATCCACTTCAATGGAGATCCATACACCCATCTATTTCTCTCATCTAACCTTTCTTTCGTTCTTCTTACTCTCTTCCTTCCTCTTTGAAATCCATGGAAGCAATACAACAGATCCTCAAGCCTACATCGTCCACGTACAAAAGCCCAAACACACCAAATTCCTCACCTTCAGAGATCGGAGAAATTGGTACATGTCTTTCTTGCCAAACACAACCTTAGATTCCGGTGAGCCTCGGATGATCTACACATATAGATACGCAATCTCTGGCTTCGCGGCAATGTTAACTCCCGACGAATTGCAAACGCTGAAATCTAAACAAGGAGTAGTGAGTGCACATCCTGACCACGAGTGCAAGCTACGAACCACCTACAGCCCGAAGTTCTTGGGCCTCAGCCGGTGGTCTGGACTGTGGCCTGACTCAGACTACGGTGCAGGTCAAATAATCGGTATGATGGACAGTGGAATCAAGTACAGCCACCCTTCATTCGACGACCAGCAGATGTCTCCGCCTCCCCCACCTTCCATATGGAAAGGAAAATGCTACTGGAGCCAAGGCGGATGCAACAAGAAGATCATCGGTGCTGTCGGTTTCCATCGAGGACAGCTAGTTTCGCCGTTGGACACCGAAGGGCACGGGACAACCACGGCGAGCATAGCTGCCGGGAACATCGTTGATGATGCCAATGTCGTCGGTTATGCAAAGGGCACGGCTTCTGGGTTAGCGCCCGGAGCTCATCTCGCAGTCTACAAAGTCACGCCTGGGACTTCTACAGATTTGCTTAAAGGTATAGACCAAGCTATCCATGATCAGGTACATGTGCTCTCTATGTCTATAGGCTATTCCAAGCCTAGGAAACTTTATCGCGACGCGGTAGCAGTTGGATCCTTTGCGGCCGTTACAAAGGGGATCGTCCCTGTTGAGGCAGGGGGGAACGCGGGGCCTCTACCGAACATGGTCGACGGAGCTCCATGGATCCTAATGGTCGGATCGAGCGTCATGGACAGAAGGGTAAGATCGATAGTAGAGCTCGGAGACGGTCGAGAATTCTATGGGGAATCGGCTTATCAGCCAGATAAATTCCCTCCCACTCAGTTTCCTTTGATTTATCCATACGGCATCCTGAAATCGGAGGATTCGAAGAAATGCCAGGGCGACTCTCTAAATTTGATCGACGTCAGGGAAAAGATTGTGTTGTGTGAAGCGAGCTTGGATTTTACGAAGAATGTGGAAGTGAGCGATCTCGTTAAAAAGGCCGGTGGCGTCGCCGTTATAGTCATGAACCAGCCGGGGATGGGGAATCGAACGGACGCGGATGCTTTTCTCCATCCAGCTTCTCGTGTTACCTACAACGACACAGTGGACATTATAAAGTACGTCGACCAAGCATCAAACCCAACCGCAGCGATAAAGTTCAACGGAACACAATTTGGATACCGCCCCGCACCTGTAGTGTCCTCATTTTCCAATCGAGGGCCTAACCTCTTTAACGGTAACATAATAAAGCCAGACTTTATTGCACCCGGTTCGGACATTCTCGCAGCTTGGCCAACTGAGGTGGGTCCGAATCCTACAGGCACGGATAAGACGTTTATCATGGTAAGTGGAACTTCGATGGCTGCACCTCACGTGTCAGGGATCGTGGCTCTCCTCAAGCACAATCATCGACATTGGTCGCCCGCTGCGATTAAATCAGCCATCATGACAACAGCCTACACGAAAGACCGAGATGGTAATCCGATAAAAGATCAATATGACGGTACAGATGCCGGAGCCTTCACGATGGGATCGGGTCATGTGGACCCGGTGGCAGCTAATGATCCGGGTCTGATATATGATAATGACCCGCACGATTACATCCGATACCTTTGTGGGATGAAACTTCCGGATTCTGAGGTATCCACAATTGCTGGTAGCCCGATTGTGTGTTCTCAAGTTCAAGCTATTGAGCCTGAGCAATTGAACTATCCTTCAATTTCGGTGTCACTCGGGGCTAAATCGGTATCGAAGACTGTGAATCGAACGGTGACGAATGTCGGTGATGCTAACTCGGTTTACACTGTGAAGGTTGATAATCCAGAGGGAGTGGATGTGGATGTTTCCCCTATTACCCTTACATTCACTAATGAAGGTGAAAAGCAAGATTTTACTGTGACCAAAGAAGGCAAACTTTCAGAAGGGCAACTGGTATGGGATTCTGGCAAGTATTTTGTGAGGAGTCCTATTGCAGTTACATTCACCTGAGATCCCAAGGAGTCGTAAAGTTGTTGAAAATAAAAATAGGTAAATAAACACATGGAATTTGGTGTGCATGCACATAATATTCTTGAAACGAGTATTGCAGGCATCATATCAGAAGAAGTATGTCATAAAAATGGCAATGTCCACTGCTCTATATAAATTATAATATAAATCTTCAGATAAATCCAAACGATCACTTTGTTTCGATAAACAAATTTGTCAAATTTCTATTCAGACCAAGTAGGTAGAGGACTCCTAATCAAATCTATATTACTAATGTACACCTTATATATTGGCCAACTTCTACCTCTTCTCTCCTAAAGCTACAATTTCATAAACTTTGTATTCTTGATTCCTGCTTGTTTCTCTTCTAGCTGCGATAAATAATCTTGATGCAAGTTATATAAGGTCACATATAGATCCATATTGTTGTTTTGACTTTGAATTCCCACCTAACCTTTACTGTGCCACCAACTCATTTACTATTACACTAATCATTTTATTAATTTTTTATTAATTTGAAAGGTTATAAAAGAGGGGTGGGAGAGAGAGCTTAGAACACAAAACAAAGATTCAGAACAGAGAGAAGAAAGAGAGATTTGAAGAGAAAAGAAAAATAGAGTTTCTTTGAGTGTTCTCTTCTTTGTGTGAGTTTGGTAAGGTATTAGAGTGATCTTCTTTTGTAAGCTTCTTTTTTGTGATTAGTGAAGTTCTATGTTGTTCTCGCCCGTGGACGTAGGTAATACTGACCGATCCACGTTAAATCCTTGTGTGTTGTTCTCTTTGTCTTATTTGTGTTATTTAGTTTTGTTATTCTCCACTCTTGTATAGACATCTTCTGTGTCTGTGAAGTCTCTCCACTGCAACAAACTGGTATCCGAGCCTGGCTTAAAGTACGTGTATCTATTTATTGTATGCTCTGTGACTGCCACTAAAAGTGGATCATCCACATCAGAAAATAAGCTAGATTATCATTTACTCTTTAAAAGCACTAGGCACTATTCAAGTGTATGTTATTATTCATAAGTACTGCTACTATTCATATGTACGGTTACTAGTACGGTTATTGTTCACAAGTACAGTTACTGTTGTATTGGGCTTCAAGATGTCTTCTGTAAAATATAAAGTGAAAAAATTCGATGGGAAAAACAGCTTCAGTTTGTGGAGAGTAAAATGAGGGCTCTCCTAGTACAACAAGGACTGTTCAATGTTTTGTCCGGAAAGGATAAGTTGCCAGAATCTATGCCCGATGATGAGAAAGAAGAGCTGGAGATGAAGGCGTATAGTGCCATACAGCTCTGTTTGGCCGATGACTGCGGGAGGTTGCAAATGAAGGTATCGCCGTCGGCTTATGGCTCAAGTTGGAGAGCTTGTACATGACAAAATCTCTAACGAACAAGCTCTATTTGAAGCAATGTCTCTTCACCCTTCGCATGAAGGAAGGTATGCGAATTAAAGACCACTTAGATGAACTTAACACTATTCTGATGGATTTTAAGAATATTGATGTTAAAATCGACGAAGAAGATGAATCCCTCATCTTGTTATGTTCATTACCTCCTTCCTATGAGAATTTTGTTAATAGCATATTATACGGTAGAGATACACTTTCTTTGGATGATGTCAAATCAGTCTTACATTCAAAGAGTTAATACAGAAAGTGTATGTTTGTAAAACCCTAAAATTTTGAGAAATAATTTTAAATAATAATAAATGAGTTTTATTATGATTATTGATCATTCGGGGATGAATGGATTTGAGAAATAATTTTAAATAATAATAAATGAGTTTTATTATGATTATTGATCATTCGGGGATGAATGGATAAGATTGGAATTAATTTGAGATCGATTCAGAGTTTTATTATGATTATTGATCATTCGGGGATGAATGGATAAGATTGGAATTAATTTGAGATCGATTCACAGTTTCAGTCTCGGTATCGCGAGTCTGCTAAAATCTATCATATTTATATTTTTAATAATTTTTCTGTTGACTAGATAGATGCGAGATTTGTGCTATTGATCTTAGAATCCTGAGATGGTGTTGTGGTTAAAGTTTCATTGCGTTCTAACAATGAAGACTGAAACCCTATGTTGAGACGGTATCGCGAGTCTACTGACATCTGTCGCATTTATATTTTTAATAATTCTTCTATTGATTAAATAGACGTGAGGTTTATGCCATTGATATTAGAATGTTAAGACGGTACTATGGGTAAATTTCTGTTGCTTTTTAAAAATGGAGACTGAAACCCTATTTTTAAATAATATAAAATATTATTTATATTATTTTATATTGCACCTAACCCTACCTACACTATTCCACCTACTCTCCTAAAAATCTCTATAAAAACCTCTCATCACACTCCTCTCACTCACGGGAAGAGAGAGAACCAAAAGAGGGTGGAGAATTTGGTTATTCGAAGAGAATGAACGGATAGGGAATTCAATTTCAGAGTTCAAGTAAGAAAATTCATCTCTTTTAAATCTCATCCCAGTTAAAATTTAATTTTGATAGATTAAACCCTAAATTGATGAATAGAAATGTAGATCAAATCCGAAATTTATGAATTACTATTCAGCACCGATGTATATGTCCACCGTCAAAATTACTGTTCACTACCATAGTTACTGTACACCGATGAAAAAATTATTCACCGTCGGAAAATATTGTTCACCGTCGGGAAGAAATATTCACGGCCAGAATAATTATTTACCGTTGAAATTATTATTTACGATAGGGTTACTATTCACCTTCGAAACTACTATTCACTATCGGTGATACTGTTCACTGTCGAAATTACTATTCACCGCTGCTGTTGTTGTTTACCATCAGAATTACTATTCACTAATAATAGATTGCATTATTGTAAATATTGCACGTTCATCACTGTTCGGCCGATGCTCAAGGACAGTCGACCGACATGTTAAATTGCTGATGAAGGGTTTTTCCGTGCTTATTTGGTTGTGAACACGAGGTTCAAAGCGTATGTATACACGCGCGACCATGTGTAGGAAGTAAAAATTACCTAAGTAGTAGAGCTCGCCTGACTGGCCCCGCCTG